GTGCAAAAATAAAAAAACCGAATAGAATAGGCACCACTAAGCACTATCCTAACAGAAAGCAATCTTAACAGAAGATAACAAAATAAAATAGCAAAATATACTAAAAGCCCCCCTCAAGATGGAGAGTAAATATTTAAAAAACCCATCTTGGAGACCAGAACAGAGAACTTTGAAGGCAGTAGTGGCTTAGTGAAGATATCAGCAAGCTGTTTGGATGAAGGAACAGGGAAAGTCTTCACATGCCCTTTGAGAATATGCTCACGGATGAGATGACAATCTATCTCAATGTGTTTTGTGCGTTCATGGAACACAGGATTTGCTGCTAAATGAAGGGCAGATTGGTTATCACAGAAGAGGTGTGCAGGACTTGGATGCAAAACTTTAAAATCTTTGAGAAGAGAAAATAACCAAAGTAATTCACAAGTGACATTAGCCATTGACCGATATTCTGCCTCGGTTGAAGAACGGGAAACCGTTTGTTGCTTTTTTGACTTCCATGATATAAGTGAGTCACCAAGAAAAACACAGTATCCAGAAATTGATCGGCGGGTTTCAGGGCATGTGGCCCAATCAGAATCACAAAAGGCATTTAATTGAATAGAAGATGTAGTGGGAAAGAAAAGACCTTGACCTATGGTATGTTTAACATATCCAAGAAGCCTGTAAGCAGCCTGAAGGTGAGGAATTCTTGGAGAAGTCATGAATTGACTGAGATGAGTAACAGCATAACAAAGATCCGGCCGCGTAATGGTGAGATAAAGGAGCCGTCCAATGAGGCGTCGATACATGGTTGGATCAGAAATAAGATCACCATCTGTGGAGGTTAAACGAAGTCCAACATCCATGGGGGAAGTGCGAGTTTTACAACCCAGTTGACCAGAATCTTTGAGTATCTCAAGAGCATAGTGATGCTGACAAACCGAAATGCCTTTGGAGCTTCTGGCAACTTCAAGGCCAAGAAAATATTTCAAACAGCCAAGATTTTTCAACTTGAATTTGTTGTGTAATTGATAAGAGATAAGCTGCACTTCATGAGGATTGTTAGAAGCAACTATTATGTCATCAACATAAACCAATATAACAACAAGGCAGGCAGTACTAGAACGAATAAAAAGAGAATTATCTGAAGCAGATTGTATGAAACCAAGCTGAAACAAAGTATCAGAAAATTTTGCAAACCACTGTCTTGAAGCTTGTCGAAGGCCATAAAGGGACTTGTGTAGACGACATACTGCATTGGGAGGAAGAGAGGCAGACTGAATTGAATATCCTGGAGGGAGATGCATATATACTTCCTCATGTAATTCCCCATGAAGGAATGCATTATTAACATCCAGCTGTACAAGAGTCCAATGGTTGATAGCAGCAAGGGCAAGAAGAGTTCTGACAGTGGTTAGTTTGGCCACTGGAGAGAAAGTATCTAGAAAATCAACACCCTCCTGTTGATTGAATCCTTTAGCGACCAAGCGAGCTTTGTAACGCTCAAGAGAACCATCTGAATGATATTTAACTTTATAAACCCAACGACATCCAACCGCATTCTTGCCAGGAGGAAGAGAAACAATTGACCAAGTTCTGTTTATCTCAAGAGCAGATATTTCTGCAGCCATTGCGTTCTGCCATTCAGGTAATTGTGAAGCTTCTGTAAAAGTGGAAGGTTCATAATGAGATGAAATGGAATTGATGAAGCCCAAATGAGAAGAAGACACTTTATGGTAAGATAATGAATTTGTAAGGGGGTGAATAGTTGAAGAGGAACAGATGTAGTCTTTAAGGTGAGAGGGTGGGTTAGAGGCACGTTTTGGACGCTCTGAAGAAGGATTAGCAGTATCAGGAGGTTGTGAAGGTAAAAAATAAAGGTCAGGTTGTGATGTGGATGATGAGTTGTGAAAGGAAAAGGGGAAATTGTCCTCATAAAAAACAACATCTCGTGAAATGAAGGTACGGTTACTCTGCAGGTCAAGAAGCTTGTACCCTTTATAACCAGAAGGGTAACCAAGAAAAACAGCGGGAAGAGCTCTTGGGGAAAATTTATGTCGGTTTTTTGGTAGTGTGGAGCTGTAACAGAGGCAACCAAAAATGCGCAAATGAGCATAGGCAGGTGGTTTGTGACAAAGCAGTTCAAAAGGAGACTTAGAAGATAAAAGAGGGGAAGGGGTTCTGTTTATCAAATATACAGCAGTTGAAACACAATCCTGCCAGTAAGCCAAGGGAATATGAGACTGAAAATGTAATGCTCGGGCCACATTGAGCAAGTGCTGATGTTTTCGCTCAACAACAGAGTTCTGCTGGGGTCTGTCAACACAAGAATGGAAAACTTGAATTCCATTAGAAACAAAAAAATGAGATAAATTGAACTCAGGAGCATTATCACAACGAACTGATTTAATGGAAAAATTGTATTGAGTCCGAATTAAGGTGTAAAATGAAGGAAAGACAACAGAAAAGTCAGATTTAGCACGTAAAAAGTAAACCCATGTGAACCTAGTTGAGTCATCCACTATGGTCAAAAAGTAACGAGATCCCTCTACAGAAGGGGTGTGAAAAGGACCCCAAATATCACAGTGTATAAGGTCAAAGGGAGAATCAGATAATTTGGGGTTTAAAATAAATGGAAGGCGTTTCTGTTTGGCAAGAGGACAAATAGAACAATGATGCGAAACTTGCAAATTATCAGTAAATCCCAAAGTATTTTTCATTGAATTTAAAACTGAAATAGATAAGTGCCCTAAACGTGAATGCCAGAGAACTGGATCACGAACCTTAAAAGAAAAACAAAGGGGTGGGGGAATGTTTACAGGGGGAAAAAGGTTGTGACTATCAAGCACATAAAGATCCCCGTGTCTTCTAGCAATCCCAATCGTCGTTGCTGAAGCACGGTCCTGAATAAGACAATGGGAAGAACAAAAATTAGCAAGAAGAGGAGAGTCACGGGTTAAGGCACTAACAGAGAGAAGATTAAACATAAAAGATGGAACACATAGAACATTTAACAAAAGAAAAGAATCGGAAATAGACACCGAACCAACAGTGGAAACAAAATCAGAAGAACCATTAGGAAAAACAACCATAGAATTAGAAGGAACGGAAGCAACAAGAAGATCAGAGGAAATACAAACATGGTGCGTAGCACCTGTATCAAGAACCCAGCAAGAACTTGGAAGAGAACGAGGAGACATACCACTGAGACTAGCAACAGAAGGAGTAGTCGTGGTAACGGACGGAGCTGAAGAAGTGGACGCCGGCGCAGAACTCTGTTGAATGAGCGTCAACAATTGATTGTATTGTGTGGGGGTAAAGGCTAGAGGAGAATCGGCGGTGGAATTAGGTCTAGGGAAATGAGATGGAGATTGAGGGTGAGTCACGGAATGGAAGGAGTGGGCCTGAGGTGTATTTTGGGAAAAATTGGGCCTGATGGGTTTGGGTTTATAACCGGGTGGGTATCCGTGGATTTTAAAACACTTGTCACGGGTATGACCCGGAATATTACAATAGGTACAAACAGGGCGTGAACGGCGTTGGGTGGTGGCAGCCATGGATGGGAAGGAAGAATTAGAGGTAAGGGAATGAAAGGAAGGCGTTTCTGGAACAGCAGAAGCAGGGAGAGAAACAGAAATTTGTCGTTGTCTCTCTTCTTGAAGAATCAGAGAAAAAACCTTAGCAAGCGAGGGAAGAGGTTCCACCAACAAAAGTTGAGCACGGGCTGATGAAAACGAATCATTGAGTCCAATCAAGAATTGCAAAACATGATCCTGTTCGCGCTGTGTTTGGATCGTGCGGAGAGCACCACATGTACAGGAAGGAAGAGGAAGATAGTCGTGAAGTTCATCCCACAGAGACTTAAGCTTGGTGTAGTAGCCATTGACATCCAAAGAACCCTGACATAGAGACGAGATTTGTTGCTTTAGCTGGAAAATCCGCGGTCCATTAGCCTCAGAAAAACGAGTTTGCAAATCATTCCACACTTCGTAAGCATTGGAAAAATAAAGAAGACTATCTGCGATCTCCTTCGAAACAGAATTCAAGATCCATGAGATGACCATGGAATTACAGCGAAGCCAAGACGCAAAAAGAAGATCTGAAGTCGGTGGTCGAAGAACAGATCCATCAACAAAACAAAGTTTATTCTTGGCAGTCAAAGCAAGAAGCATAGCCCGACGCCAAGAGTTGAAGTTGGATCCAGAAAGTGTATGGGAGACTAAAATAAGACCGGGATGATCACCGCTCTGCAGAAAATAAGGGCTGGAGCTATCATCCATGGTTGCTGAAGAACCAGAAGAGTCAGCAGTGGTGGAACGGTTAGTATTGGTGCCACGAGCCATGGTAGGAGGCGAGGGCTAAAGGTATACATCTGATACCATATTAGCAGAACAAGATCACTTTACAAAACTGAATATTCATTCAATCAAAATCAGAAAAAGATCAGGTGTACAATGCTGAATTTATACAAGGAGAAAAATGCCGTAACAGAATGGCATGTGTGACAGCTAACACTAACAAACCAGCACCACATGTGCAAAAATAAAAAAACCGAATAGAATAGGCACCACTAAGCACTATCCTAACAGAAAGCAATCTTAACAGAAGATAACAAAATAAAATAGCAAAATATACTAACTTTTGATCTACAAAATTGTGCGCTTGAGAATTGAGATTCAAAGCATGCTATGCCGGATATTTTCCATTTGCTATCTATCTTGATTGTAGGATTTTGAAATTTTGTAAAGCGCTGGATTTGTTAGTGGTTTGTTTGAGTTGTACGATATTATTTTATAGTTACTTCGTGTTTTAGGAATATAAAGAGAAAAAAGGGTGATGGCTGGTCGCTAAGTGATTTTGCAATCCGGATTCATGTTATTTCTATTTCTTTTTAAATTTCTATAATTTGAATGACTTGTTCCTTGCTGATTGTTGATGTTTAGAATGAAAATGTTGTAACTTTTAGGATTTCTTTTTCTAGTGCACAGTTCTTACCATAGACTATATCCTCAGAAACTCGGATGGAGGGCTCTGGCAATTCTGATGTAGGTTGTGACCAAGGAAGTCTATTGGTGACTCCATATTATACTCCGTATCAGAAGCAGATATTGCAGAAGTCTGGACTTCAACCTGTCAATATGGACTTGTCTCCTAGCACAGGTGGTGATAGCACTGTGGTTTCTACCAAGGAGGGCTCTGGATCGCCTTCCTCATCATCCTCAGATTCAGAACCTGAATCTATTATCCCATCTGTAGTCCATTACCATGGCATGCCAGTGAATACGGATGGCGAGGGACTCCCTGAAGGTATTAAGCTGAAGGAAGAATTTCCTGATCTGGAGCAACAAATTCAAATAGTTGGTGAGGAAAAAATAGATAATATATTGTGGGCGAGAGGGAATGAAAGTTATGATGAATTGCTCAGAGAATTCATTAAAAATGAGGAAGAGCTTAAAGTTTCCAACTTTAAACTTCAGCTCTCAGAAACGGAGATTGTCAATTTGAAGAATCAAATTGAGAAAAGAGAGGATCAGCTTGATAATGTGCGGAAAGAATTAAAAATGAAAGAGGATAATCTTGAATATGAAAAAGGGAATGTACTGGAGTTGCAAAAACAAACGGCTGATTTGGAAACTCATGTTCCAGATTGTTGCTACAAGATTGCGAAGTTGGTGGAACAGCTGGAGTTAGCCAATGAACAGCTTAAGACATCGAATGATGAAATTGCAAGATTAAGAGAAGAACTTAGGAGTAAGTCATCTGATACTCATGAGTTGCAAGGTCAGCTTGATGTGGCACAGGAAAATGTGGCCACTTTAGAATGCCAGCTTGATTCAGGAAGAAAGCAGATTGGGGAGCTAGAAGACAGGATTACATTGTACAAAGTTAATGAAACTAACCTTGAGCTTGAGGTGCAAAAATTGAAGGCTGAAATGCTTGATGCCCAGGTACAGTTCTCTCTGGAGAAAGATCAGTTGCATTCTGATTTTGTGAGTTTATCAGAAGTGAAAATACAGTTGGGCTCTAGACTCGAGGAATGGGAGTCTCGAAGCAATGCATTAGAAAACAAATTAAGGCAATTCGAAGCTGAGAAATTGAAACTAGAAGAGCTGCATGCTAGTCAACAAATGGTTTTGCAAGGTGAAATCAGTTGTTTGAAGGAAGAACTTGGTCTGAGAAGACATGATGTAGAAGCTGTGAATAATGAATTTGACAGGCATAAGCAGAAATATGACCTGCTCATGACTGAAAGAGATGGAGCCAATGCTAAGACTCATAAACTTATGGCTGAGGTAAGCTTCCGAGACAATCAAATTGCAAATTTTGAGAGAGAGCTATTCCAGCTAAGCGCACAACAGGCAGAGTTGATCTCTGGGTCTGAAACGAGACTGAATCTAGTAAATGAGTTGAATCTGAAAGTTGAAGAGCTTGAAAAAGAGGTGACTAGACAGAACGCTGTGATCTCAGATCGGGCTGAGGAGAAGAGGGAGGCAATTCGGCAACTATGCTTTTCTCTTGATCATTATCGGAGTGGATATCAAGAACTTCTTCAAGCATTTACTGGGTACAAGCGTCATGCTGTTATAGCTTCCTAAGTTGTGTTCAGTTGTGTCTTATCGTTTTAATATGTACTGTAGATCTTTGCATATTATCAATTTTGCATGACTTTCTATTATTGCTGTTGAGCATCTAAACATTACATAATACTGTCTTGATTCCTATCGAGTTAGGTCAAACAGTTACGTTGGTAATTGGCGTTGATGAAGCCTTTATGTTCATTTCTCATAGCCTTTGTTTCTGGAGTTGGAAAATGATGTTTTTCATAGTCCAGACTTACAGTTTTAAAAGAAATTCAGTCTAGGTTTCTGGTGTTGAAATTCTTTGTCATTTTGTTTTTTATTCCCAATTTTAATTTCGTCTAAAATGATGGTTTTTGGGGAATTGCATTTTTTATTTGAAGTTAATATGCGTATTATGGCTATACTATAAACCTAAATTTAATTTCAATTTCTCTATTGTTGATTTTCTATTTCATTACTTTGGAATTGTGTGAGGTATCCAAATGTGAAATTATTCCGAATTTGGACTTTGATTTTCATCAATTATTTTAGCACAATTGCAGAACCTCAAGTGAATATGCTGCTATTGTTATCATTGTTGTTTAATATTGTTATTCTGCACACACATATTTATGTTGTTATGACTGTTATGGATGGAGGCAAGTTGGAACCAAATTCATTTTGTTCTGCTGAGATTTTTTGATTGAATCCCAGTAAGAATGTTAGGCAGATACTCTTAACCATTTCATTTGAAATTGCATAAATGATCACGCTTTTATGTATTTTTCTATATTTCACATTTTACAGTTTGGTTGGGTCATTGAGATTTGAGTATGTTACTACCTCTATTGTGATTTTATATATTATTAAGGTATTTGTGTCATGTTAGGTCAATAGTTGACAGCATGAGTTGATTTTGACATCTTAATGTGATCACATTGTTTGATTAATTCGGTGTACTAATTTTTTATTAAAATAAAAATAATTTGATTTGTGTTTTCCAAGTAGGAGCGTGTAAGATATTTTGACGTGGACTAACATAATCAGTAATGTATTTTATACCAAATGGTGGTAGCTAAGTTGACGCATGGGAACTGAGCAGGTGAGGGTGAGAGCATGTGTTCGATCCTATCAAGTACTACCTTTGTGAAGGATTTAAAACCTTAATCCTGGACCCGCCCCGAATCGAACTAGTCGCAAAGCAATGAATTGATTGAAATATTTTTTTAAAAAAAGTAATGTATTTTATAAAACTCAAATTAATTGAATGACAAAATATTAGAGAGCACACTAATTATTTTGGTTTAATGCAGAACCGACTCGGTCATTGATTCAGTCAAGATATTGCGTCATTAGTTCAATAGGTGGATTACGGGTTGAAACACATAACCCAAATTAGTACATAAAAAGCTATATTTTATACATAAAATTTATAAAATATTTAAATACATGTAAAAAATTATTATATTAGGCTACAAGCATATATAGTTTTTGGGTGTTGTTTTTCTTTTGTTCCTTGAGAAAACAACACCCTTCCTGCACATATAAGTTTTAATCTTGTTTTTTAATTATTATTTTTTATTCTTTTTGACTTATGGGACCCACAAGGTTATGTTTGTGGAGGAATGAAATTTTATTTTCCTGCAAACGGAGAAACAAATATCCCATAATAAAAAAGTCATATCTGGTAACCACATATGATATATTATAAAAAATAAACAAAGAAAAAAGAAAATTTAAGTATCAAGTAACCACATATAATTCTTCTACCATGTATTCTCAACTAACCATATTTAATAATTATAAGGCATTTATTAACGGGTAAAATGTGTATTATTTTAAAGGATATAAAGTTGTGTCATTTTAAGTGAGAGAAAGAGATAGATAAAGGAGGAGAGAGAGTGGACAAAAAAATATAAAGGTGTGGGTCCCTCTTCTTTGTGAGAGTAAAATGACATAAGTTATGTCATTTAAAAGGATAAACATTTTTCCCTTTATTAATAACTCTTCCCATAAAAATGGATTTGCAAGGAATTAATGTCACATTCTCCTATTCCGCAAATTGCTTCAGTCGGAAGTTGAAACTTGATATTATTATAGGAGAGTATACCATTAGTAAATAAAATTACAAAATTTTTTGAAAGAAGTTACTTACTTTTTTTAGACAAGACGAGAATTTTATTTTATTTTTTATAAAAATATACGATTCACTGATTTTTATTACCCGACCGGGTCATTAATTTTGAATTAGTCGTGACCGAGTCCAATACGTGACCGGTCCGCTACTTGATTCGAACCGACCGATGACCGATTTGCCAAATTTTGAGTCGACCTAACCGGTTCGAGTCGAATTTGATAACACTTGTTTGACCTAATGTAGTAATCAATATTGTTATTTGGCTTATTGTGCAGCACTCCTCAGTCCTTACACATAAATTTTGGTGTACGGCCTTTGTATCTATATGAGCTTAGCTTAGGGTGATAAGTGTAGCTTATGCATGTACAAGGATATAGACTCTTATTCCTTTCTATAGAAGTATGGAAATGGCTTACTGAGAGCAAGAGAGAGAATTCGAGTCTCTTTCAAGTTTCACCTTATTTCTTTGTGATTTCTTTACATGATAAAACTAGAGATGTCTGATGTGTAAATTTTTTAGGCTATGATTTATGGATACTGCAATGTTGGCGATATATCCGATATCAATACTCGTATGATACATCTGCATGCATATTTTTGGCATATCCCTTCTTTATTTTTTTAAATGGGAAAATTTTTATTGTATTTAAACCAATATTTTTATTTTTATTTCCCTCTAAATCTCAACTTTTTACCCTTTTTAGATCGAATGCATGTAAAATAGGAATAAATTTTTAGTATTAGCGTTCCATTGAATACTCAGTGCGATGGTGGTATTATAACTATGTATTTCGGATAATACATAGTTATAATATTAAAAAAAAAATTTATATTAGCCGACAAGTTTATGAAGAAAAAAAAACCCTTAATATTATGAATATATACTCTCCGAAGTACATAATTATAGGGTTATATTTATCTTATGTTGCATAAAATAAACAAACTTCCTACATACAATAGATATTAGTCCCTCACCACATCTATTTTGTTTTCTCCTCTTATATATGAATCTCACTTGTAATTTTATTTCTATAATATGAGATAATTTTTTTTCTATAATTAAGATAAATATAACCTATAATTATAATACCATTATTGCACTAAATACTGAGTACAACGATAGTATTAAAAATTTGGTGTAAGACAGGAGTACCGAAAATTTGTTCATCACTCTCAAAGTACTATTACTTAAATTTGAGATACAGACTCAAGTAATGTCCTTTCTAATTACTTGCCTCAAAGCAGATTCTCATTCTTCCTTTGTTGTCCTTCTGTACTCATCCGCACAAAAATTCAAACATTCAGCATCGCTAAACAAGTAGGGAAGCGGGAAAATGCACGAGACTTGGGTTTCAATAAACACAAGTTAATTTTATTTCTTCATTATGTAAATATAAATACGAAAAGGGTATTTGAAATATTATTGAATTGTGTGAATAATCTGTACAAAAAGATCTCTATTTATAGAGAATGAAAACCCTAATACTTGACCTAATGAGTTTGGCCCAATACAACAAATACTAATAATAATAAAATAACAAATATTTACAACACTCCCCCTCAAGCTGAGGAATAAATATTTATCATTCGCAGCTTGCTAGTAAGTTCTTGAAATCTGTCTGAAGGAAGTCCATTTGTCAATAGATCAGCTAATTGACGCCCAGTGGGAATGTATGGAGTGGTAATCAACCCGCTATCAAGTTTCTCTTTGATGAAATGGCGGTCGACCTCAATATGTTTAGTCTAATCATGTTGAACCGGATTATGAGCTCTACAAATAGCGGACTTATTGTCACATAGCAGCTTCATAAGTCCCTCACATTTTATTTTGAGATCATCAAGTATAATTTTCAGCCACAGTAACTCACAAATGCCTTGAGCCATAGCTCGAAATTCAGCTTCTGCACTTGATCTGGCGACCACATCTTGTTTCTTACTTCTCCATGTCACCAAGTTACCGCAAAGAAACATATAGTAACCAGTGGTAGAATGACGGTCAGTCACGGATCCAGCATAATCAGCATCAGTGTAAACTTCTAAAGAGAGATTGCCATCACATCGGAATAACAATCCTTTACCAAGGGTAGCTTTAAGATACTGCAGAATTCTCTCTACTGCCTGCATGTGTTTCTCCTTTGGATCGTGCATAAACTGACTGACAACACTAACAGCATAAGCTAGGTCTGGTCTAGTATGAGCCACATATATCAATTTTCCAACTAGCCGTTGATATTGTCCTTTATCAACTGGAGGACTCTCTTCTTCATAGCCTATCTTGTGATTCTGCTCAATAGGAGTATTAGAGGGTTTACACCCGAGCTTTCCTGCTTCTTTGAGAAGATCAAGAACATATTTCCTCTGGCTAATAAAAATTCCTTTCCTTGAATGAGCTACTTCTATCCCTAGGAAATATCTCAGTTTCCCAAGGTCTTTGACTTCAAACTCAAAGGCAAGCCGTGTTTGCAGAATCTGTTTCTCCACAAAATCATCACCTATGATAATAATATCATCAACATATACAAGGAGCACAGTAAGCTTCCCATTATGGGAGTGCTTGAAGAAAAGAGTGTGATCTCTTTGACTCTGTCTGTATCCTAAGGTCATCATAACCTTAGTAAACCTTCCAAACCAGGCACGAGATGACTGCTTCAATCCATACAAGGCCTTTTTTAATCTAAAAACTTTATTTTCTCCCTTCACAGAATCAAAACCAGGCGGGATTTCCATGTAGACTTCTTCTAACTCACCATTGAGGAAAGCATTTTTCACATCAAATTGATTTATATCCCAATTGTAATGGGCAGCAAGGGATAACAAGACTCTCACCGTATTCATCTTTGCAACTGGAGCAAATGTTTCTTCATAATCAATGCCATAGGTTTGAGTGTAACCTTTGGCAACTAATCGAGCCTTGTATCTCTCAAGAGTTCCATCAGAATTATATTTCAGGGCATAAACCCATTTGCACCCTACTGTTTTCTTTCCA